TTAGACATCGATGAGCTACCCAGGCACTTCTCAAAGGCAAAAACTCAACAAAGAAGTCCAAAGTTACTGTATAGGATCATCGACTGGTGTTATTCACTATAACTTTCTGCAACCAGGTCAAACCATCACAGGAGAGTTTTATTGTGAGGAAATCGACAAAATGTACCTAAATTGCGTCAGCAGCAGCCGGCAGTGATCAAGAGAAGAGAACCTTTCCTGCTCCACGACATCATGACATAGTTCAAAAAGATTACTTTGATATCCAGTATTTTCGCAAGTGTAATAATAGTCTCTATTTTATACAAATACTTTACACGTTACAAAACATATAAAATAAAAAGTTAATATGATTCCCTATTTATTTTTTTTAATGTATTTTTTGAATTTGGTGAAACTGATTAAGCATTTGATTATGTTGGGTAATTGTATAATTGCCGTATAAGACGGATGTCTTTTTGTCAATAGATACTAATCTGTGTGTTGGATAAATTATATCATTACTGCCAGTAGGATAGTCATAATTCTCACTTTCCACTTTGAACTTCAATTTATTCAAAAGTTAATTCATACATTCATAAATTCGAGAAGATGTGAATAACGACGCTCACCCTAGACGCCCCAACTCATCAACATGATTGATGACGTGCAATTTTTTCGGAAACGTTTGGCATGAAGCGTGTGGCAGCGAAGTTCGGTACATAATTGCTGAATTTTGAAAAAAAAAACGTCGAATGGGCATCGCTTAGGAATTGTTGAATGATGTCAACGACGATCCAGATTTACTTAAATGGATCATAATTGATGACGAATCATGGGTATATGGTTATAATATCGAAACTAAAGTTTATTTGTCCCAATGGAAGAACCCATGATTACCATGGCGTAGAGCATCAAAAGTTTTTGCCACATTGACGTACGGTCAAAAAGGAGTATTATCTTGAATTCATGGGTTTTGTATCATGATAATGCACCTGCCCACTCATCATTACTTGTTCGTAATTTTTTGGCCAAAAACAGAACCTCAATCATTCCTCAGCCACTGTATTCACCAGATTTGTCCCCCTGCGACTTTTTCTGTTCCCAAGATTGAATTGACCCAAGAAAGGACGGCGTTTTACAATAATTGAGGAAATAAAAAACGAATCACTGAGAGAGTTCAAGAACATACCGAAAATTGCATGTCACAACTGAGTCGAGGACTAGAAAACTATCACAAGTGTATTATATCTGAGGGAGACTACTTTGAAGAGGACAAAATATAAGTTGATGAATAAATATTTTTTGAGAAAAATAAAAATTCACCTAATTTTTGGAACACACTTCGTATACAAACCTAATGTTGTCAAAATGCTGTTTTTTCTAAAGCTGCCACGGCAGGTTTGCCTGTATTTTAATTAAAAAATACTTCTAATGACTCTTTTCTGAATTTTGAATATTTCAACTATGTTCATATCAGTCCCCAAAATATTATGCCAAATCTGAGGCTTCAAAATTAGCTAAATGAATGAAATTTGAATATTTGCTCACAACTTCAATACTATAAACTGTTTCATTATCTAAGTTTTTTTCTAGATTATTTATGTATGTATGCCAATGAAAATGTTCATAAATATAGACTTCAAAAAATTTTGTATAGTTTTCAATTTTAATTTCATTTCCCAGTATCTTCACCGATGATGGGGTTTCCATATCTAATAATGGATTCGAACAGTGCATAATAAGTAGTTATTGCATCGGATTGGTTAATAAATTGTTTAACTTTTTTTATAGCAAATACTGCACTATTTAGTCTATTGCAAATTGTATATATATGTTTGTTCCATAATAGCCTGACATCTATATCTACACTCAGAAATTTAGTGTGCAGCATGTCTAGGTCGTTTTCTACATTGTAGAATAGCCTGGATTCAAAAATGAGACTTTTGGTTTTTTTTCATTGAGTATGATCTTGTTTGTCAAGAACCAGGGTTTTGCTTGTTCCATAACTTCCCCAAGGATTGTAGCCGGACACTCCCCTTTATTGATACTGATGCCAAATGTGGTGTCATCAGCATACATAATTGTCTCGATATTTGAGGTGAACATATTTGGCAAATCCTTAATATAAGTAATAAAGAGAAGGGGGCCCAATATTGATCCCTGAGGAACTCCCCTACTTATTATCTGAGGAGTGCTTCTCTGATTTTCAATACAAACTACTTGAAATCGATTGGACAAGTAGGATTTGATTAGTTTCAGTGCCACTCCTCTTATTCCGTAGTACTCCATTTTCCTCAGTAGGATTCTAAATGATTGACTTTGTAACCGTTCCTTGCATAGAGCAAAATTTTCATATCGTTTAGATTCAGGAACTTGTGGTTGCATGCCAAAGAATGGTTTGAAAACGTTGAATCATTTTTTCCTAGTCTGAAGGACCTTTCATGTTCAGCATACCGTTTTTGGAAATTTCCACCACATTGTCCCACATAAACACTATTACACTCCGGACCTCCGGACACTTGAGCTTATAAACTCCAGATTTCTCCAACCTGTCCACCTTATCTTTGGCATTGAAAAGGAAATCAGATAACCTGGCATGTGGTCTGAATGCCACTTCCACATTATTTTTCCTGAAGAAACCCGCAATTATCTCAGTTTTTTTTCCAAAATATGTTAGAGTTACCCATTTCTTGATTTCTGGTTGTTTGACCTGAGGGTATATTAATCTGTAAGTGAACTTACAGCTTTGTTTTCTGACTAACTTCTGGATGGTATCTGCGTTGAAACCATTATTATGACCTTTCAATGTAATTATATCAATTTCCCTAGCTAGATTGTTAACAGACAAAGGCAGTGAGAATGCTCTGTGCAACATTGAATTGTAGGCTGCTGTATAGCTAGGTTTTCTGAAAACATTGAACCCAAATTTATTCTGATTGTGTGTAATGGTCAGGTCTAAGAAATGTATCTGTTTCTCTATCTCTGTTTCGAGTGTGAACTGAATGTTGCTATTGAGATTATTCATGAATGTCATAAATTGGTTCAGCTATCGTGTAGCACCTCTGAAACAGGCGAGAATATCGTCTACATATCTGTACCAAAAATTAATATGTTTTTACCCAGGTCGGAATTTACTATAGTGGTCTCCAAGTTGTTCATAAATATGTCTGCTAAAAGTGGACTAAGGGGTGAACCCATTGGTAAACCTGAATCCTGTTTATGAAATTTGTTGTTGAACTGCAGTTAGCTCCGATTTAGGCACACATCAAAAGCTGTTGAAACTTCAAAGGAAGTGATATGGTCTACTTTGGCTTGATCTAATATGTCTAAAATGAGGGGCTTACACTCGTTGTAAAGTATGTTGGAGAACATACTCTTTACATCGAATTAAACTAAAATTGAATTATGTGGCGTGGTTTGGTTCCTTTGTTCCTTATGTTTTCTACTTAAGTTAGTAAATTTTTAATGCTGTGAGGTGGGTCGAAATTTTACCTGCAGGGGTTCTATATAAAGGCTAATGTAATAAACCATTGTACGTTGCCCGAACAGAACACCGGTTTTGATAAAACAATTTGATTNTACCATCTTTGTTTCTTGTGGAAGGGTAAGTAAATATCCGAAATGTTATCAAAAAGTAATCGTAATGTTCACATACTTGTATGTGACATATCTGTAGCCGATCTCAACTATTCTATCGCAAGGTCACCTCGTCAAGATCATGCGGAATCAACAACTGATACCTATGCAGTGGAAGAAAGAAACAGGCGCCATTTTATTTTATATCATGGATTATGACACTTTTTTGCAATAGTTTGTTGAATGAGTAAGCTATGGACCCAAGAAAGCTTTTAACAATACCAAGGGAGCTGCGGATCGATCTACACAGGAGCTACGAAAAGAAGTGTAAGTACCCGACTCCCTCGACACAAGAGAAATTATTTACTATAGAATATGGTATACTGATAAATCAGAAGTAAAGAAACATTTTTGGGAAAGAAAGTTTTTGGCTTTCTACTACTCCTAAAAAAATAACCCCTTCAATTCATCTTACTTTCATTGCAACACATGAACAACAATGTGGATGTTCTCCTCGCCTCTCACTTTCCAAATATATGTTGATCTTCATTTTGTCCCTAAGTTTTTTAAACCCTAGATTTCAATAGATAGTTGAACGTAAAATTTTAAATTTTTTCAAGCAGTGCTCATTTTAAGAAATTATCCTTGAATATGAGGTTCACATCAAGATTCAATTGGACCTTCAGATTTCTCACTGAAAGTTTCCCAGGGTGATACCTTTTGTTTTTGTTTTTCTCCACACCTGCATTATTTTTAGGGTTTCCATTCTTTTTTCACACTGTGCATATGCAAACTTTGAGACACCCGATTTCCCCTGTGTAAGTCTAAAACCATACATGAGGAAGCCTTTTGAAACGGCTAATAATGATTGAAAAGTCATTAATTATTATCGGAACCTAGTGTGCCAANTTACCGAAATCTTATCAAACCCAGCAGTATTTTTATTTCTGATACCGTTCAAGGTTTCAATTAATTCATGATCTATGTAAGTCGCTGGCACTTTGCTGTTTGAGTCAGATCTTTCCTGCACTGATAAGAAGGAAGGCCTCGAAATTGATCTGTGATCTACTTGAATAATTTCAGCATGGTCCTGCTGCTGGATGAAAGAGAAACATCTGCGAGACTAACCTCTGTGAGGAATCTTTCATAAATGTCTGTCAAATATAATTCAATATCCAGCGTATTATTAGCCGGGAAAGAAGTTGTTTTCCTACAGGCTTTTACCAGAACGGTGTAGGTACTTTGGGAAAGATGAATGTTATTTTCTAGTATTCAAATATTTTTCATGAACCAATATAATAACATCTAATATAAAATAATAATTAAAATGAAACAACATCAGTGTGCTGAAACCATAATATTTATTTTCTACTATTAAAATATTTTTCATGAACCAATATAATAACATCTAACATAAAATAGTAATTAAAATGAAACAACATTAGTGTGCTGAAACCATTATATTTTATTCAAATTAATAATGTTTAACAAATTATCGATAGAATTTTCAAAACAACACTTTAGACTTCCATCATCAACCATAAATAAATAAACCGAAGTTAAAATATCCAGCTTGGTATTAATAACGAGTTACTTGGACGTCCTAACCTATCTATGATAAAAAGTCAAGTACATTCATTGAAAAATATACATATATACAAAAAATATTAACGTACTTCCAAAAGGCACTCTCAGGAATGAATTTATCAGGCTACGAATTTCCATAATACTTGGATAAATGCGTCAGTAATAAGTAAAATAAATTCGAAAAATTTAAATCAATTGCTATGGAATATATTTATTTACATAACAACGATTGTATTAGTATTTAGTACAACAAAGAATATCAGTCTAATTTCGAACATTGAGTTGCATCATAGCTGCCAAAGTTGAAAATTTTAATAAATTATCCACTGATGCTAATACAGTACTTAATGCTGCCCAAGACAAAAAGGCCACGCTGATATGATCCTTGAATAAAAGTCTTTGAAGATTTTTTCCTCATATAAAAATACTCTCCTTGATATTGAAGGACTATATCGAATAGGCCTCATCTTATGTATCAATACTGTTATAGTATTTGCCTACCTAGCAAAAGCTGGTGATTTTTTCGTTACTTCATTCTACAGCTGAAGTTTCTATAGAATTTTCATTCACCATAATAGGTTTCCTTCTTGTTCTGCTCTGTGTTGCACTACCAATCACCTCCATCCATCTGAAAAAAAAAAATCTAATTTTCACAAACAAGCAAAGATGAAGTATGAACTGTGGCCAATAATGAAAACATTGACAGTATTTTATTTCATTTATTAAGTAATCTACAGAACAAGTAGCTCCAATTATTGATTACAATATTAAAAACTAATTAAATAACTATTCTCAATATAAAACGATGACTGAAACTAAGGTAAATCCTAATCATTTGAATCAAAATCAGATTCAAACACACATTCAATTGAAAATGACAAATGGATCTTTTTCATTTAAATTGGTGTTCATTTACAATAAGTATTAACCCCTAAAGATGACATATCAATTTCAATATTGTTTTTTAATGCTTTTATATTACATTTGACATTCCTCAAACAATTTGTAAGAGAACACATACTGTTCAATGCGAAATTTGTTTGGGCAAAGCAAATATATCTTTTCTTCTATGTACTGCAGTTCAGATAAATTTTTGACGAGTGCGGATTATCTACTTTATTATGCAATAGCTTCTAGAAAAATAATAGAAAAGCAATGTTTCTTCTAAATTCTAAGGTGAATTTAAATGCACTTAAGGAAGTATGATAACTAAGATTAAAAAGATATTCACATGTTTTTTGTAATGTAGAAATCTCAAGAATTTTTGCAATTTCATTTTTATGAACTGAATAATAAGGAGACCATATTATTGCACCATATTCCAGTATACTACGGACAAATGCATTATAAGTGTTAGTAATGTGGATATTTTTGTGAATTTGAATGTTGGTCATATGTTCCTCAAAAGTGAGTTTTTCATCCAGCGGAACTCCCAAATCTCTACATTCTGTCTTCTTGGCTAAATATTCATTACATTTAAAACCATTCCGTTGTTTTTTCCTAGTAATTGATATACTAAAGCATTTGTCAAGATTAAACGTGATTATCGCAACCTCTTTCATATGCTATATTGTGTAGCAATCCTATGAATGACATCTGATTCAATTCCATAATGAATGAATGAGGTACAAACTCAATAGAAGTGTTTTTATATAATTCAATGTTAATATAAAAGTTGTTGTTTCGAGAGGACTTTTTTTTCCAGTTTGTGTCTGATAGTTACTTTTTCACAGTTCATTTTGAAATTAATTGCTTTCTTCCTTTCATTGGAAGATTTTCACATTTTCTGTATAAAGATGGAGAAGTAGAAAGCCAGTTTCCAGTTATAATGAGCTTTAAAAATTCAGAGTAAAAAAATTGGATGAACCTTTGAGAACAAAAACATCTGGAGTCAAATCATTTCTCTCAAAGTGTAAAAATGAATTTGTTGATTGATTTACTGATCAAGAGTGTAATTTTCAATTTCTTTGCTAGTTTCGAATTTTAGAAAAAACTTTACATGTTCACATATTCGGATCAATACATAATTCTCACACTGGATCTCTAAACAATAAATTTTGGATTTGTTAGTCACTATAAAGAGTTGACTGTCACATTTCTGTAGAAGAATATCACATAAGATAGATATGACATAAAATATAAGAATTTTCATGACTAAGTTTCCTTATAATGATAACCGTTATTTTCCCATTGTGTTATCCTTCCGAATTCTAATATTTTATGAGAAAATAAATATCATTATTATAAAAAATGAATCACATTTGGTTGTCTATTTCCATAGTCAACTATCCAGTTAGCATTGTTTACGTTTCATAAGTTACCAAACTTTCCAATTTTATTCACATTTTTTTGTTTCAACTGAGCTCAAATATTCTCAACATCATTCGTGACAAACTTCTATTAACGCAAAGATACAAAAAACTACTCTGAGGCTACATTCGTGGATTTGAATTTATAAAATTAATTTTAGTATTTTTATCAATCAAGTACAAATCAAAATCTCTTACCTGTTAAAAGTGTACTCTGACTCTGCACGGAAGAAGTACACATGATTTTTATACTGCAACTTGAATACATAGTCTTTGATAATTTGATCCTCAGGAGCAGGTGGACCAACTGAATACCCCAAAAGCGGCAAAGACGCCAAAGGAAACTCATCCAAACAGCCTTTGTAGAAGAACAAACAGAAAGACGTGAAAACCACCCAAAGCTTCTGCCACCCATTGCTGCTCTTGAACTTCCTCAACAAGTACCCAGACAATTGATTCTGAAAGTAATGAAATAGTAATAATTTCTTCATGTCCATTAACAGTGACTTACCTCCACAGCCAATAATTCGTCTTTCATGCTAATGCTAGTACTTCTGTGCCAACAAACATGAACGGTGGTATTGCTACGTTGAGCTTGTGGTTTAGTCTGAGTGCTCACTTCGTTATTCCCACACTGATCTACGTGTTCATCAGACGAGCCTAGAAATAAATTAGGCCGTTATTTTCCGCTGTTCTGTAAGATGTAGGGCATTGTACATTTTAATATCAATAGTATCGTCCATTCTTTGTAACCGGGTTTGAGGTAAAATCAAATTATCTTTATTTCTAGTATTGTGAACTTGTATATCGGACACAACAGAGTAACTATTAATGTTTTGTTTGACATATAGTAACTTTACAAAAATTATCAGAGAGTAAAGTGTCATTATTCTCAACGTTTTAAAGATTGGTTTGCAGGAGTCTTCAAAATTAGCATCTATGATACATATTACAGCCCTCTTCTGAATGAGAAATATAGCATTTAAATGAAACTGAGCTGCCGAGCTCCAGACAGACAAGCCATATCTAATAATGGATTTCAACAGTGCATAATAAGTAGTTATTGCATCGGATTGGTTAATAAGTTGTTTAACTTTTCTTATAGCAAATACTGCACTATTTAGTCTATNACTTGTTTTTAAAAATAAGTTTTCAACAATCTACCTATTGGTTCGTTCATTTCATTCAATGTCATTGTTGCATGTTATAACTCTTTGAAACCTGTATGGCAGGCATCTTGTTTGCCGACATTTTAATTTTGTTTTTGCTTGAACTCATTCATTTGATATCCATATCATAGGAAGGCATCAGAAAAACACAGTCCGTCATTTGGAGTCAGTCATATTGAATTTGGAATGATGTCATTTTGTTTTTTATATTCTTTTCAGCAAACCCATACATTTTAAAACAATATTATGAAGATGGATAAATAAACTAGTCTGCCATCTTGGGCGGTCCACCATATTGAATTTAGAGTGTCGTCAATTTATATTCCTTTCAGTAAATCCTTTCACTTGATACCCAAATCAAGGGGGTTCATAAAAAATTAGTCCGCCATCTTGGGAGGTTCGCCATATTGGATGTAGCATGGCGTCACTCAGCAATTAGTGCATTGTCATCCAAACTAAACGTGTATGCAAAGTTTCAACTCAATCAATTGAGTATAAGTGCTTCAAAGCAAATTAAAAAAATATCTAATAAATGATATAATAGTAAAGACACATTTTTGCGTGCAAGCTTTTTACCAGCTCTAAAAAAAGAGAATAAACCTTTATCATTCATGTATATAAAACATGTGTCATATCTTTTGAAAGTGAGCAAAGAATTGACAAAGAATTGACAAATTATATTGCTTTGACCTATAATAAAGTTGAAATATTTACTTACTACAACTTTTCAGGCTCAAGTACGTGATTTTCGTATCAGACTTATCTCTCGCCATCTGAATTGCATTCTGCAAATCCATTTTCCATTTCTCTTTTTCTTCGGGAGAATTTGCCGCCACAGTTAATGACCTGTTACCCCCGTAAATTATCAATCCGTTGAACATGAGATCACCGTCAGGTTCCTCTATCAAGACTCCTCTCAAAGGCATGTGTCCGTGCACCTTGAACTGTAGGGTTGCTTGCGATCTTGACGTGTAAAGCAGAATATCTGAAAACTGAAAAAGAGATGTAACGAACACCATGTAGGATGTGTGAAGGATATCTTTTGCACCTACTCAATGTTTACACTTTAAATAATTCTCGACCGTGATATAAACTCAAGATGTTTAATAATTTAATACTTTTCGGAATATATTTCAACAAATACAGTGGTGGGTGATACCTTTTGCTTTTTTGTTTTTCACCACACCTGCATTATTTTTAGGGTTTCCATTCTTTTTTCACACTGTGCATATGCAAACTTTGAGACACCCGATTTCCCCTGTGTAAGTCTAAAACCATACATGAGGAAGCCTTTTGAAACGGCTAATAATGATTGAAAAGTCATTAATTATTATCGGAACCTAGTGTGCCAACATACTTAACATACAATACTCAACTTGCTATCATTCTTCAATAGGCATGTCAACATTGACACAGTATCAATCCCATGCTGATGTCTGACGCCTGTCGGATATAATCCAACACCCTTCGTGGTATTAGCCATGGGAGTAGTTGTTTTCTGTTAGGCGTCAGTCCATTAAACCTACTGTGTAGATATATAGAGACTGGCTTGAACGTTTGAAGTTCCATTTGCTTTAAGTTTGACAATGACACAAGACACGATTCACGTGTGATCTATTAAAAACAGTGTTGCCAAAAAGATACCAGAAAAAATCACTGTTTATATTTAAACATATTATTATGATTAATTAGTATAATGTTCAATTAACAAGAAGCTCTCATATTGGCGACATTTTCGAGAAATAACTGAAAATATGAATAATGAGGTGTTTGGGAAAACTATTGAAAATTTAAAGTCCCTAGATGACTACTTGACCCCACTAAGTAAAATTTTACCTGAAAATACTAAATGTAAATAAAAAGATTGGACAATTGATTTTTCATTGAACAAAATTTCACACCACTTCCTAGTCATGAAAATACTTTCATTCGGGTAAGTTTTTACAATCGTAGATTATCTTATCTAGGATGAGAGTCAAAACTACAGATCTAACAGGGGAAACCTCAATTATTGACAAAAACTCACCAAGAAGAACATTCTCTGCTGGTAACCTTTTCTGGAATGTTTCAGAAGGCAACCATGTCTGATGAACTTCCTTCCGGGCTGCATCAAATTATCGAACCCTACGATGTCTCTTTGCAACTCACACAACGTCGCCAAATTTTCGGACTGCTCCAAAGTTTCGGCAACGGGCTGCATCAGATCTTCCAACGTGTTGCTAGCGGTTAGACAATCTCCCCTGTCCGGATGATTGGGGCCATACTGCTTGAGGAGCCTCTGTAGGAGAGACTGGTATTGCAACAGTCGATGCAAGGGCTTAAGAACAAAGCTAGTGAGTGGAAGGTAACACACTTTTTGAGTTTCGAAATCACGATATAATTGCTCGAAACGGTTATTTTGTTTGAAAGCGGTGTCTAATCTTTCGAGGACCAGCATGTGGCCATCCAAGTATTCTTCATATATCTGTAAGGAAATGGTTATCGAGTTAGTCGAATGGTAAGCATGATAGAATATGAAAAATAGAGCAGCTAGAGACGATTTATTAGTCACACAAAAACTGATTTCCATACTTTTCATGACCTACAAAAATTAACTGCTACATGACATGACACGGCAACACAACTGTTACTACATGGCAACACAGCTGTTACTATGTCCATTCTCTCTCTTTATTATTTGTTCTATGAATAGAATATTTTATTCACAACTGAAGGTAACCAGAAAACGTGAGAAAAATCAGAATAATCAAAATTATATCATGGAAAGTTTTTGAAAATCAGTTGAAATGATTTGTGTTTCAAAGATTACACCTAGTATCACCTTATAGTACATATTTTGAAAAACAAATGTGTTCTATGTCGTGAAGTAATGTGATTGGAAAAAAGAATGCATTGAGATGAACTAAAGGCCTCCACAAATCATGTGTTTCTTGATTTATCTTTTCTTAACAACCCTCAAAAAATGCAATCATTATCATAAGGTTAAGCAAACCTTCTCTTGAATACACTTTTACGAAACTTGTACTGAACATCGCCATGTTAAGAACAACTTAATATTCACATTGATCATATTTTCTGATATTCGATATGGATTTCTCTTTTGTACAGAAATGAAAGAAATAAATTTTTTTTTTCTATTAGGAATTTTATCATATTAAAATTGCCTGCGATTATATTATCCTACCCTTTTTTTAATACCATCTTTGTTTCTTGTGGAAGGGTAAGTAAATATCCGAAATGTTATCAAAAAGTAATCGTAATGTTCACATACTTGTATGTGACATATCTGTAGCCGATCTCAACTATTCTATCGCAAGGTCACCTCGTCAAGATCATGCGGAATCAACAACTGATACCTATGCAGTGGAAGAAAGAAACAGGCGCCATTTTATTTTATATCATGGATTATGACACTTTTTTGCATGAATTCATATTAGTAGAATATTGATCAGCATTTGTAGGAAACAGATGGGGATATTTCTTTACAAAGTTGACAAGGCCCAGGAAATACAATTAAGGCACTATCAAGATGTCTAGTTCAGAAAAGTATGTCCTACATGAAGTATTACGACTCAATCCTAGTATACATCTCATCATTTTTTTTGTGTTATGAATATTCTTTGTGAGCTTGAGGAAGAGCCCTAAAATATAATCCGATAGGAAACAATTGACTGAACATGAGCATAGTAATATGTTCGCAAACAGCTGACTGATACTTGGTCCCATAGATATCGTATAACTCCACAGATGGAGTTCCAGATGTTTATGTGTGAATCCCAGCTGAGGGTTGGATCTAGTATAACGCCCAGGAATTTTATATGATCTGATATTGGAATCGATTTGCAGTTCAAAGATCTTAGAAGGTGACGGAAGAAGTGATATTGGCCTATAATTATTTATCATCTCTACAACCTTTTTTGAAGACAGGCACAACTTTGGCAGTTTTTAGGTCATCAGGAAAAATCCCTGATGACAAGCTCTCATTGATAACATTCACTAAAGAATCACATATATATTCTGTAATTTGTTTGAGAATAACAGATGGTATCCCATCTATACCACATGAATATTTAGGCTGCATTTCATTTATTATGTTAAAGATTTCTATTCGGCTAACCAGTTTAAGGAACATTGTGTTGTTTGCATGGGACACAGTTTCATGAACATTTTGTATATTTCCGAATTGAGTGTAAAAGTTATTGAAAGTGTTTGCTATTTCAAAACGATTTGTTATAGTTTGACCATTGGGATCTTTCAGGGTTATGGATTCATCTTTGATTTTGGTTTTATTTTTGGCTTGATTAAATATACTCCAGATATGATAATGTGGAAGGATTATGGAGTTGTAGACTAATAATTTAGACCACTGGCTCATATATGGGGAACATCTTCTTAAATAGTTGATTTTGTAAGTTATTGTTTTGATAACTTGATTAGCATGTTCCTTGAATTTCAAATTGCTGTCAATAGTTACACCCAAGTACACAAATTTGTTAACCTTCTCTATATTACTGTCATTCAATCGTAGAAGTAGGTTTTCATTATTATGATCTCTATCCCTAATAACATCCATTTTTTTTATTTACGTTCACCTTCAGCAGATTTGCAGAGCAATATCTATACACCCTTTCAAGACTAGCGTTTATAGTATTAACACACTCATGTACATCTTCACTTTAAGTACAGTAGGGTATCGTCGGCAAATAAGTGAATTCTACATCTTCTGATATGGTTACTATGTCATTTAAATATACGAGGAATAACAATGGTCCCAAAATAGACCTTTGGGGTACACCTATATTATTTTTCATTTTATCCAAATAAACTTTCAATAGTTTCAACCAATGCAATAAATCCGAAAAATGGCTTTGACACTCAAACAAAATCAGTTACATTTCAGTTGTTATTTTCAATGTTTTATGGCAATAGAAATTTAATTTATACTTCAGGGAATAACCTTATGAATTAATGAATATTTTTCAAGTTATCTTTCTCAAAACAACAGACCACTGAACTACAATAGAACAATCTCTTCAACAATCAAAGAACACTCAACCGCTAGTGGAAAGGAGCCTAAATGGGCATTCTTCAATGAAAAACAATAATCTCGAGTTTTTTTTTAGTATTCACATTATTTTTCATTTATTCATTCATACTGTTATATTGTCAAACATGCAAATCCAGCTACCAAATAATTTGAATTCCATTTATTCGAAATCATCTAATTGGATTTGAAACAAATATTTTTTGACATCCCTACATCTAGTATATCCCCCTCCAAAATATCTCTCTAGACCCTTTCTGGGTTAATGTAAAAATGTCTGTTTATGACGATGTTTTCACTCTAATCTAAAAGTGTACAACATATGACTCATTTTCTGAATTGGCGCCTTTTCTAAACACCAGAATGTTTAGTTTGTTTTTCAATTTGACCCAAGTAAGTTCAGTAATCTAAAAATGATGGGCAACACATTACGAAAGTATTCTTGTCAGATAAAACGATATATTTAAAAATATAAATAAAATTCTTACAGGTAGCAATGGTGGAAGATGCGCCAGTAAAACGTCAGCGATGCGCCCTGCAACAGCTCTGGGTCCACCTCTGCCATCCCAACCTTGCAACCGCTGCTCCAAATCTTTGACCAGCAATCCATGAGCTTGAGCCAACGGTGCAATTAGCGACAAAAGTATCTGGCATTCCTCTGGTTCTTCTTTGCCAACTTCATCTCGGAACCACTGAAAAAAAATTGCAGAAAATTATACAAAACTACTGTAACTATTTTTACAGGCCAATAGAATGAGTATTACTTGTTACTTATTTTGTTGATATCCTAATAAATAAATTACAAGATTCAAAATTTGAAAGACTCATTGAGTTGACATTATTCTTGCCAGGGTGCGATTTAATATAAATTTTTCAACCATTGCAGATTTTGTCAATTGATTTTAAAAATGAATACAAATAATGAAGGACTGTGACTGGAATAATTATAACTGGAAACAAAACAAATAATCCCACCAAAATAACCCTTAGCAGGTAGTATTGTGGATGACCAGCTTCTTCACTGGGTATCAAGTGGGGTTCCTCTGGAAAAATGTTTAGAATCAGAATTCTCTTGGAAACCGGTAACATACCAGAATTTGTATGATAAGATGTAACATATAAACAGATTTAATGATCATGAACCTATTACTTCTGTGAATTGAAATATATTTCTAAAGGTTCTCGTCTTTGTATAAAATAATCATCAGTGGTCTTGCTCATGGTAAAGGGTGCTCAGTACAGGAAAATTAACAATTACAGATTAACAACAAAATCTGTTTAAAATCTGTCACGATTCCTAGCTCAAATATGTTTTTTGTTTTTTCCATTCAGGGAATACTTGAAATGAACTCCTTCTTTTTTCTCCTCAATCTTCACTCTCCTCCCCATCTCCCCCACCCACTCTCGCTCCTGCCAGCTCCCACCCCTCCAATTTCACTGATTCTCCTCTCTAACCCTCCCCTTCCCTCTACCTCCTCTCTCTCCCTCACCTCTAACCCCCTTCATTTGAAAAATAATGACAGTATATATAAATAATGAAAATATTTCAAGAGGATAAAAGGAAATTTCAGAATTGTTAAACACTGGTTCAAGAACGAGTTCTGGGAAGCCTTCTACATATTGGGTAGAGAGTTGGAGAGTGGATGAGAGGAAAAGCGAATCACAATTCCACATATTATATTACAACATTTTGGAATTACTGTTACTTCCTTGGTCCTCACATTGTACACATAAAAATGCAGTTTGGAAATTCTGAATGAAAAAAATTACATGAGCTAACTTACCACAGGTGCAATGATATCAGAAAGAATAACTTCCTGTCCAGAATCAAATTTACGTAAATGAATACTTACAACATTGATAACGTCCAGGTCTTTTTTATAGGTGAGTTCCGTCATCAATATCTCTTTTGCTATGTAATAAGTACGATCAACGAAGTGTCTCGGCTTCTTCTTAGCCTCTCCCTCTATTTCGGCAATTATTGTTGTAGAAATGATATTAGCACCGTTGATGTTAGCATTGGCGTTAATACTGTTCATAAGTTGCTCTTTAGCATAATTTTTTGAGGGACTGTCATCAAGAGTTGTCGTACTATAGTTGCCGTTACTTGCATTCAGAGAAACATCAGATATGTTACCGTTTACAGGTTTCTGCGGTGTGGAGTAGAAATTGTTATTATCCGTGTCATTCTCTTTCTTCTGATCAATAATTTCTTTCTTGGTATCATCTGAAACATTATTTCACGTTTAGTGTTATTTAGTTATTCAAAATATGAAATAATATACTATAAAGAAACAAAAAAGAAAATTGAGGTTACAAATAATCAACAGAGAAGAACTTATGATAACCCTACAATAACATAATAAACTATATGTCTGTAAGATAAAATAAGGGTGACCCTTATCTACAGATAATTCTCGGGGAATTAAAAATTCGACTGTTCTACTCGCCAATCCTGTTCCAATCAACAAAAAAATGAGGTATGCAAAATTTCAGCTGAATCAGAGAATTGCTAAATTTCTTATAAGTCAAAATAGAGCAATTTAGTACAATCAACGATACATTTAGACAATCCTAGCAATTACCCAAAAATATAAGATGTATAATTAAAATATTAGAATCAACATGAAAAAAATATGATTTGTCCAATACGGCATATAGCCCATGTAAAAAAAAGATTTTTTATCAATAAATTCGGTGGAATCCAAAAACAATGTGAAAGAACAAATATTGAACATAATTTGTCCCTAAGGAAGGACTTCTCAACTATTGGGTACTTTTGACAGTCTTTGCTAAGGATCTGTAAAAATATTCTTTATCAGTTTAATTTGTGACTATTTCATTGCAATATTAAAAGAGATTTCCTTTACAACAGCTGACTTCTTAGAAGTCTTTCAAATCTATTTGTACCTCTTCAATATTGTCCCGCTACTAGAAAACAAATATATAATCTTCATCGTAAAAATACCATTTTTTAAGGATGCAGTCTAATCTGATCGATGAACAATTGCAGAAGTGTGGTTCAGCTGACTTTCCGAACATTATATTTCAATTTTACGAAGCTCAAGACGGTGTGCAATTTTTGGTAAATGGGAGACAACAAAGTCTTGAGCTGAAATTTTACACACATCGTTTTTATATTCAACTGGAACAAGATATTTTGTTAGATGTTAAACTTGAAATGAATTGAAAAGAGTCACCCCAAACATGCTATAGTTTTTTCTCGCTCACCTTTCTCCTTGTTAGGCTCAAAATGAAAGTGAGGAAAAAGAAAAACTTGACAAATTGTATCTTTTATTTTCGAGGAAATAATGATTACAGAGGTAAAATGGGATGATTCTAGATGTAATCAAAGTTAGGATCGATAAATGATTGTACATAGCACAAATATGGGAACCTACATTTTCTCGAAAAATCATTTTTACAACATGCTTATAGCATAATTTCATGAAATAAACTTTCTAACGAAGCAACCCTGAAAACAGATTTCCTAAAATAAATCCACACACTAACTCAATAACATTCACTTGTGAGGAAGAAAAAGAGATTTGGAAGAGATGATAACATAGGAAAAGTAACCACCACAATTAACTCCATATCAATGTTTCATTATGTATTCAAAAAAGTCTATTTTTTCTGACGAAAACTCTTTTCCTGTTCTCTTAAACTGTCCAGTCCAGCTTTTGAATCTCTATTGCCTCTCTATATATTCTTGGGGAGTAATTTTGGGTATTGTCGGGTACTGTCCAGTCCAGTAATGTCAAGTAGTACTCGACAGTACCCAAAATTACTACCCAAGAAGTCTACCGCAGCAGTAGACGAAACGTCAGGCATAAAAGCCTGCATACCACGGCCAGAAAACCCGGAAAATAGCCTTTATACGGTTATCTCCGGTCGTGAAAGTTTACATTCTTCGAAATACATTATTTTTTTTAATTAATTAATTTGGATAATAATTGTGAACTACTGAGCAGTTTGTTGGTTATATCAAAGTAACCTATGGATCGGCCAATACTACTTTTTTTTCTGAAACAATTGACAAACTGAATTGTTAGTAGCACTTAAAAAGTAGTTACTTTTGGAACAAATCCTGAAAACCCTCAAATGCAATGTTTCTAGTCTGACTAGAGATATCACAACGAGCCTATACAAAGTAGATAACATTTAAAGTCACTTGAAGTGACTAAACTATCAAAATTTGAAATAAATTCAAATTAGTGAATAACTTTCATCAACAATCTTTTTTTTAAATTGAACATTTTCTTCAACACTCCAACCATTTTCAGAGTTACTTGAGTTTTCCCCTAATTCTACAACTATATGATTAGTTTATTAACAATTTCTCATAAATATCACAAAAACGTAAAAATAGGAAAACCTGCTTATTGACAATGACACGTTACATAATTATTTCGAATTATTATTATTCAATTAATCGTCCTGCAGTTGCTTAGGCCAACAATCGATAAACAATCACATCTTTAAACCTACACTGAACCAAAGTTGAACCGTAAAAAATACACGTTTAAAATCATTTGTACTTCGAGTTCACTACAGGTAAAGGCTAAATCAGTTTTAGACCGCAGGGATTTCAATTGGCCATAATTTTTTTTTCTGTAGACAAGAGAATAGTCATAATAATAATTTCAGTAGTTCGTTCTAAAACCTTGTTCAATTTGAAAATTTCAAGGAAGGAATTCAATGCTTATTCAAAACTGAACAAAAATTAAAGTGATTTTTTGTTTCAATCTTTCAATACGATCTTAGATTTCTGTCATTTTGAATAGTCTTTTATAGCCAATTGATTTTTTTTAGAAAACTAAATTCGGGAAAGAAATATTCGTTCCATAACCGAAAACTACAAGAAAAATTGAACAATAATACACTAATTTAATGTTTGATTTTCGAGTTTAAAACAGTTTATTTACAATGTTTCATCAGTCTTCGAGCTTGCTCATATTAATTATAATTATAATTGTATGGATATTGATCACAATGAAAAGAGTACAAAGCAGATAAATTTTGATTTCATTTTGCTCAATAAACATAAAATTAAGAAACTGTCTCCCATACCTTTCATTTTCGCCCACGTTATGAGATTTCTTTTAAAACAGCTATCAATCGAAGATTTGTGAATACAATGGGAGACATCAAAAAAATGCATGAACAGGTCGATTTTCAATTGGAAAGGGACATATTTCTATCATAACCTCAACGGTTATACCTCCTCCGTCCCTTATTGAACATCAAGCCACAATAAGCCCTTATGGGTTGCGGTGGACCACTTTGGACCTACGTATTGAACATCACCCTTAGAATTTTAATAGGAAAAGTACCAAGTGTGAAACATCATTAAAAAGGTAATTGTATGAGATATTCATCCATGTTACTGTTCATAACCTAAGTTTTCATTTTGGCGCCCTCTGCATCAGAAATACTCGACAACGTCGGACGTAGACTGAATTATACCCAATTATTACAGGTGATGGAGGCTAATTCAGTTTGATAGTATCGTAATTTGAAATACGGATCAGTTTTTCACTGCAAGAGGGCACCAATATGAAAAGTTACGTAGTGGATAGTAACATGAATTGTAAATGAATTCCTGGGTACAGTTTCAGTTGAAAAGGCTACAGCGTTTTCAAAGCTTTTCTTTACCTTACCAGTTTCTTTGTAAGTACCAAATTTGTTACATCTTTTTTTTTTTAAGTACCAGAATTGTTTCATCTTTTAGTACTATAGTCACTATAAGAATGTTAATATTTTGTATTTCACACTTTGCTAAATGTTTTGTAAAATTGTAAATTGTAATGTAGACATCAGACTTGAGCATTCAAAAATACTTTGTAGTTCATCACACTTTGTTGAATATGTTTTTGTAAATTGGCTTTGTTGTTGAATAAATAAATAAATAAAATAATAAATGATAAAGTTTCCTCTTAATTATGTGTCACACTTAGTACTTTCCATATCCAAATTCTAAGCGAGATGGTCACAAAGAGGTGGGGAAGAAGGTACGACAATTGAGGTATGCTAGAAAGATGAGCCTCTTGAATGAAAAATAGACCTATTTTTCTCAGCAAATATGTCTTGAAGATATTCAGTTTCTTTTCGGTGGCGTACACTGTATGTGAATTCCCGTACTTGGGTCTTGCAGAAACTTTTTCCCTCCCAGGAAGTTACAAGATTTTGGAATGAAACGAATAATTATGATGGCTGAATTCATATCGTGAATAAAAGATAGGGTACAGTTTCGAGAGACATTATTAAAAACAGAAATCCAACCCAGAATAAAACAAAATATAAACTTTTGCTCTTATTCTGAATTGGTATTTTCCGTTTCAAGTTTAGTACAGAAGACAGATATATTATTACTTGTTGGTACAATAAAGAAGTGGTTAACTATTCATCAACACAGAACAATCGCAAAATTCCAGAAATACCTCCAACGTTTGGCACAATTTTCAAGACTGCCGATAATGAGTCCTTGGGTACTAATGTGACAGTGGAAGTGAAGGTATTCTCTCAATAAATAGTTAATGAATATTCGATAGTAAGAACTATAAAGAATACTGATTTTTGAGTTTAATTTGGGTTTTTCCCGCACTCAGTAAAACGTAGTCAACTCGATGATTAAATCCGTCAAAATCCGCCCACTTCCATCTTTTTTAAAATCACTGAGTTTAGAATATGAAAGAGTTTTGGATTTTCAAAACATTTTCAAATATCTTACCTAAAAATCCTGTACCTCAACATATAATGAGCTTCTCTTACTTTTTTTCTAATACTTTTAATGGAATATAAAATACATTCATATCAAACTTATCAGCAATATCAGTTACATACACATTAAATACCATTCCGAATATTCCGCAATCACAGTAAAAAAGGTAAACAATTCCTTATTTTATATTGAGCTTATATTCACATAAAACTACGATTAGAAAGTGCATTTTCCTTTTCTTTTTTTCATAATTATGTATGTCATTATACTTAACATTGGCACAAATCCATCTTTTTTCTAAAACACTTTCTAGTGCAGTTTAGAAATACTGTGAAAAATGGGATATCAAATACTGTCAGTCGGGAGGTTATACGAGGTTTTATTTAAATTAAAACTGGATATTTCATCAAAGCTTGTTTGAAAGTATTCCATAGTTGAAGGAAACAAAAATAATTATATACTGGTATTTTCCAAACAAACCATACTTGTGGAAAATATATGCC